TTTATCATGAGAGCATTTTGATTAATTAAATTTCAACTCAATAATCAGCTACCGATTCATAATTCATATCCATTTCTCTCTTAGGAAAAATGTATTCATCAATTAAAATATGGATTGTTAATTGAAGAAGAAATAAAAAGTCTCAACTGAAACAAAAGGATGCTCAATCATATTTTTACAAAGAATCATTCATTCTTGATTAAAAGAAAACTAACCATTTTTCTATCAATTTTAGAGTGAGAATTGAATTTGATTATTGTCTCTTTTTCTTTTGTCAAATATGTTAGAAATATTCAATAGAATTGATTGCATAAGCAGAATAAAGACGGAGAACATGGTGGTTGGATCTATTAATACAACTTTATAAACGTGTCCTTCCTGCTGGTAAATGATATATCACCATTGACATTATCGATTTTCAAATTTTTACTTTCATTACAGGTATTTTTTGAAAAAGCTCAAACTTAGGAGACAGATGGTCTACTTTATAATTTATTATGAAATTTTCTTTCTTTCCAAATTCATAATTTTTTTGAATGCTCAATCAAATTGTATCACTAAATTTAACTGTAGCAAATATAATCGCTTCATTCATTTCTCGTTTTTTTCTTTTCTGATTAGACAAATAATGATTTGACGTGTAAGCTTTTAATTATCGAAGACTAAACTAATCGATGAATTGAATGAGTTGGCTTGATAACCAACATTGTGACCATTCTGAAGAAATAAGTTTGGCAATAACAACAGTTAACTTAAGTTTCTGTCTCGTATATGTTACAAACTTAAAGGACAAACTGCCTCTAAAGTAAACCAAACCAAGTGCAGAAACAATGCCGTATTGAATAGAGGAGAGAGAGAAAGAAGACAGGGATAGAGAAAGAGAGAGGATATTTTGTTAAACTTTTCTTAGACTAAGAACTGGAAATAATTATACGGAGAAATAGATTTACCATCCCATTCTTTTCAATAAAAATTCTCATGTTTTCTCTTTCACACACTTTTTCTCTTTCAATCTCTTTGAAAAATGAGAGCAACATGACAGCGCACTTGGTACCATATTCATATTGAGTTATTCGGTCAATAAAAATCTTTTTATCAACAACAAATTTTTATATTTTGATTATTTCAAGTATTTGGTAAAAGCAGTCTCGTCCTTTTTGAAGAGTTAAATTAGTTTGCTCTTGTCCCTCGATTCATTTTGAACTTTTGAACTGTAAACCTGAGGTTAAACTAAGTTTCGATGATTCCTCACTTGTTTAGATTCTTATCCGAGTTATAAACTAATCCATCTACGGTTAAAAACAGAAATATTTTTTACTGATATAAAAGAAATTACGTGAAACTTCTTGGAGAAATTTTCAATGATCTTGACTAATTCTCATTTCCGCAGTGCATGAAATGTTCAGTTCAGATTTCGTGCTAGTTTGAAAGAATGTTCTTAAAACTAATATTCATTTGCCTATTCGGTTATTCCTCATTAAAAATATGAGCATAATAAAAACTTCAAAAGATCGTTTTTTTACTAAGCGATTTTTCATCCCATCGAGTGCAATTCTTGTGAGCGCTCTTGACAATATCAATGTTAAACTGTGAATTTTTTTCTAATACTTCTAGTCAATCACAATTTTTGCTTCCATTCCCCTTTTTGGCCACTTTTTTCCAAATGTTGATATATGAATGTAAACGCGATATTACTGCAAAATGCTTTCAATATGTTTTCAAAAGTTTCTTAATGAATTGGTAAATATATCGGATTTTTTTTAAGGTGCTATATATGCAACAGGTTTCACTTCAACGAGTTTCCTTATCAAACAAATTTACAGTTCAAATTTGCTTCCTTGAAATAGAATAGGTCAAAATTGAAGATTGAATCACAATTTTCCGGTCTAAGACATTATCCACTGATAGTTTTTAACGATTCCTCGAACCACCGTTTCATTTTTTTGGCTGAGAAGGCAAGGTTTAAAACAAAAAATTGAAAATGTTTAATAGAAAACGGGAAATCTGATGAATAAAATGATAATTCAATTAGTGTGACATTAATTGAAGACAATTTTGATTTTTCAATTTTTTTTACATTGATGGTAGGTTAATGCATCATTTGTTATTTGATAAGCTCAAAATATGCCGGCAGCTGTGCTATTGAAATGCATTTCAGTGTTGTGCCATTGCCGCAGCAATCGTAACGTCAATGTATTGCAATACTCGAATGATTTCTTTCCAGCCTGATTTTAAAATTTTTAGCAAAAATTTTAATTAATACGTGAAGAAATTATTCCTCCATTCGATTAGATCAAGCCATTTTCTTTAAATTTAGTCCAATAGAAGATAGTTGGCAAATGAACTAATTCCTCTCAAAAATTTTGATTCGAAATTTTGTTACTATTGCAGTTATTGTTATAGTTTTTGTTTTTTTCTTAATAAAACTTCATCTTTACAAAATCTCATTTATTTCTCAATATCTAATGCAAATTCGCAAATTCTTTTTATTTGAATTTATCATCGGAAATTAATAAATAGAATCCGATTCTTCTGATATAAGGCCTTGGAATTGTTAGTAGATGATTTACTTTATTAAAGTTTTATAAAGATAAAGCCCAAGGCTTTATGCTGCTTGAAAAATTAATGGATTAAAGCACACAAACTCGAAAGAGGGGTCGGACGGTAAGTTAACGGATTAAAAATGACATTGCATAATGTGAGATTTATGTTAACTTTTAATTTTCAAAAATATCAAAGTTGTGATTCTTTACGGAAGAGAAAAAAAGTAAACATCCAAAAACTTTGTCGTGCTCTGTTGTGGTAGAAGTATACATGTTTTTTCAATTGTTGGCTGAAAAAAATAGGCTTTCAAGACTTCTATTATTAAATGGCTTAACAGTTGGCATAAAAGCTTTTTAAATGCGATCAAGTAATTGAAATAATATATATAGCAATGAACAATCAATATATAAAGATTCAATTTTTGCAGGTTTGGTAAATCGTTTCGACAATCAATTATGGCCATATGTTTTATAACCCTTTCATTTTTCACTCGTAATGAATTCTATTCTCTAGCTATAAAAATTAATATTTCCCAAATCCATTTTTTACTATGGGCAATTCTGGAAATCTTAGCCGAAAAATGACACTTTTTGAGTACCACTGATTATGCAAATAATTCGGGTCGATAAACAATGCTGCAAAACGAGTTGTTCGATGGTTAGTGCACCTCGCGTTCCAAAGATAATATATTCTAATTCTGCTGCTGAAATGCCAAATTTCCAGTCCTTTAGATATGCTAAAAATATACACAGCAACTATTCTTTTTTACAATGAAGAAATTATTGAAGCTAGAAAAATGTTAAAGAATGATAAGTCCTTACGCCGGAAGTTATCGTAGTGATAACAGAATTATTACTTTAAACCAAGGGATAATATGATCCGGCCTGTAATACTAGTAGTTCTACATATTGTTTCGTTTTCTGTTGAAAAGATTTGTGGAAAATCCTTTGCATATAGTCTAACTTTTCCATTTCTTAATTTGAATTCCTTGAAACTTCTACTTCTTTAGCAATTGTATTTGATAAAGTTTTTTTTCGCAAAATATACTTTCAATACTAATAAACAAGGGTAGCAAAAATTTTCATTCCATACTGCAGATGTCAAAATGCATTATTTGTATGCCTCTTCTCACAATTCTAAATAAGTACTTACTGTCAAAGCAACTTTTAATAATATGACGGTATGTTCAAATTCATTACTTTTTATCGTTGCATCGAAATTTTTCATCGTTTTCTTCAGAGTCTTTCTCGAAAAAAAAGAATTATATCTACAGTAAATATTCCAACAACTCTAACAAGGTTAAAATGCTGTAAATTTAATGAAATGATTTAAATTTTGCTCTCTTTGAAATTTATTTTTTATTTTTTGGAAAACTATAGTTAATAATTTGTCATGTGTTAAGAAGAAGTGATAAGATAAAATCTTTTATCAAACAATTTTCATCATTATACTATTTGGTAATGGAAATTTTTGTTCAAATACAAGCATTTAAAACGTCTTTGGAAGAGGAAGAAGACCAGTAAAATTGTCCTTTGTGTCTTTTTCTGGCTTCTTTTCGTGTATCCACCAACAACGCTATTATCGAAATTCGATATAGCCTAGTATAGCTGGCAATGTCATTACTCCGTGGTAATATCGATTCTGCTCAGTTACACCAATATAAGACAAGCCACTGATGGCAGTCATTCTTATCATTTTCATTTATATTTGTTCCAATCAATTCTGAACCTCCTGTCATTTCTGATTAAATTTTTAAAAGAATATAATTCGAAACATTTCCTTGTAGGAATAGATTTTGTGAAATTCTTCTTCATAAGCACTATTCTACAAAAATACATTTAATATTTACATGTCCCAAATTTGGATTCATAATAACAACAAATATGAATTAAACTTAAGCTTAAATTTGGTTAAGAAATTTCCTTCACTTTCATTCTCTTCTGCATAACTTTTTTCCAGATATATTTTGTGAAGACAACATTCATTTTCTACTTACTTACACTTATAAAATATTATTAACATTAAATTATTCTCATCAACTTTATAACGTGTTATTAGTTAGTTAGTTAGTTATACAAAAGGAGAAAACAGTAAAGAGAAAGAGAGAGAGAGTAATCGTAACGATTATTATTATCAGTGCCTTTATAATATGTTATATAAAGATTTTGTTGATGCACGTTTATCCTTCCTCGGTTCATCCTATATTGAGATAATACTTGAAAATTAATGTTGTATTAAGAAAATCTTTAATTACTCCATCGTTCTATTGAATATTAGTCGAAAATCTTCATTTATTTGCAATTAAATCTAAATTCATATCTTAAATTTCAATTGTTTTTGACGAAAGTTTTCTTTAGTTTTCCTTTACAGAAAACATTGCAAAGCTGCTTTTGATTTCCTTGCAATGTGTTCATTGGTAGGACTATAATAATGTCTATTAAGTTTGATTTACAATAATGGCAGGAGCTGTACACATAGCTGTTAACGAGAAGGATGTCATCAAAATTGTTTTGGAATTCCTGGAAACTCGAGGCTTACATATTGCTCAGGTTCATTAAAATTTAAGAAGATTGACAAATTATTAAGATGACTAAATTATAAATGATATGGTTAAAGCTTAATCTTCATCTTTCCTGTAACTTTTTATATTCAGCTATCACTGGAACGGGAGACTGGTATAATCAATGGTGATTTCTCAGATGATGTCTTGTTCTTGCGACAATTAGTCCTGGATGGTCAATGGGATAATGCATTAGATTTTGTGGAACCTCTTCGAGATTTGCCAGATTTTGATCTGCGAACGTTTCGATATTATATTACAAAATACAAATATTTTGAACTCTTATGCATCAGACAAGAGCCAGGCCCAATGCATGATAACGATTTTACCGTTGAGGTTGTAATAACAATCATTTGTTCAATTTCATAACAAAGAGATAACAAGAAAATGCTTGTTCACATTTCCAGGAACTGGTAGAATGCTTAAAAGATTTGGAACATATATGCCCAACATCAGAGGATTTTCATGCCCTGTGCGCTTTACTCACTTTGCCTAAATTGTCTGATCATGTCGATTTTAAAAATTGGAATCCCAGTAGTGCTCGAGTGGAATGCTTTCGAAAGGTTATCTAGACTAATAGCAAATTTTTATTGAAATTGTAAGGTAAATATGAAAATAATATAAGCAACATTGAATTTAGAAGTAAATTTGCAAGCATAAAAGTAACTTTATGATATAATCTGCATAAATCATAAATATTCAATAATCAAGTAGAAAAATATTGCCGATAGATTAATAAGTGAATTTAATTTCTAGATTGAACCAATGGTTATACCTTTACTACCCTCAGTAGTAAAAAATGCAGACCAAGTGTCATCATCACATTCATTGAATGATCGTTTGATGCAACTGGTCGTTAAAGGAACAATGTACGAAGGTTGTGTGGATTATTGTCAGGCTCAGGCTATCAATGATCAAAAGGGTAAGAGATATGTAAACAACTAAGCATTATGTAAATTAATAAATTAGAGAGAAGTTAGGTATCACAGACCAAAACTAATTAAGCAAGCATTAATTAAAAACTAATATTAATACGTGAAAATATATGTAAAAAAACTGTACAAATATAATCATGCAAATTATACAAAGTTATACGAGAAATTTGTGTGAAATTTGTATATATATATATATATATATATATATGTTAATTGGAGAGAATATTGTTGTGGAAAAAAACTCATCATAATACAAATTACATTACATACTACCAAGCTCATTGTAAAGGTCATCAGATAAATATGCTAGGTATTAGATGTTAGAACAAGTAAAATGAAGTCTTGGATTCTTCATGTCAAATAAAGATAGCTGTTTGGAATTTGGAACTGCTTATTGCAAATGCGCAAAATGCATTTAACTGCAGCAATAAATATCCGGTATTTTCTCTAACAATGCCATTGTGGTAAGCTTTTGCTGCAATAACTGTTATAAGTTATAAGCTGTTTGCTGTTGTAAATAACTGAGTAAGATAAAGATATAGATAGATAATCATGCAATGAATAATTATGTAAGAGATGATATAATAATTAACAACATATAATGCGCAAATATCTATTTAGGCATTGAAAAAGGTGCAGTTCCAACAACACTTCTGTCTGCTAAACCGCGATTAATGAATACGGATTTATCACTGATATCATGGCTTGCAGCCATTGGTCGTGAACAGTTTACGTTGCCCTTTGAACAGAAAGCTTTGGATTTAAAGTTCGATAAAGTGAAGCAAGTTTTGTGATTTATATTCAGTAGTAATTTCTGCCAATAGGCTTTAGCTGCGAAAATATTAAGGATGTTCTAGTAATTCTGTCCTAATGATTTGATCTCCAATAGTTAGCTTATCGTTATGGTATAGTCCTTTTTTCTAATTGTGCAACATCATAGTTAAACTTTTTCTGGTTGGAATTTACCAATTAAACAATTTAGAAAACCTAAATTAGAAGCTCAATGGACAGAACATATCCTTGCAACACCAATCAAACCTGGTGGTACATTTCCACATGCTTTGGTTCCAAATGTTAAGCTGAAATGCGCTGAAAAAATGAGCCGGTCCATGGTAATACCATCGATAACATCATCGGTTACCGCTGGTTAATTTTAAACTGTTGCAACAATATTCTTTTTTTTTGATCCAAAAAATCAAGATTTCACAATCAGTTTCCGTGTTCGTCTTCGTCTTTAATTATTAATTAGATCTTAAAATTGACTTGAAGCAAATAAGCACAAAATTTTTGAAGAATTCTGCTTGAAGATGTTTCATCCGGTACGCGAAATCCCTTGCATCCAATGTCATATTCAACGATGCCATCAGTGGGTTTCTCAATCCAAAGTAGCACGGAAGAACATCCGAAAGAGGTGATGGCACAGAGTCAAATGATTGATGTAATGTTCGAAACATCAGAACATACAAGAAGTAGCCAACCCGATAAATCATGCGACCAGTTGCCGTATCCCAATGCACTAATGCAAACATCGGGTGTAATGCTTAGTACGTCGCAACGAAATCAGTAAGTTGTATTTCTTGATCTTGCAAAATAATCCTATGATAACAAATGACCTAAAATACATTATTCAGTCTCATTTTGTCTTAAGTTACTTTTTTTACTACCTTTTTACATGTAAGATAGAAGAAGCATTTTAGGCAAGCTGTAATAACACAAAATATGGGTTTTGTTAACCCACGGATGATGCATTCGATGGCGCAATTGTCCCTCTCAACGGACAGTGTGCTACGTCATCAGTTGGAAGATATGGCGCGACGTGGTCAACGGATCTGCTCCCTACCACCAGTACCAGAACTTTCTACACCCAACGAATACTCGTTAGTAGAAACAGCACAAATTGAGAATTCTTTGAATATTACTACTGCACCAAACAACAACGATTCTATTTCCCCGTCTCCATTACTTCTTACATCAGCGTCTATGGGCGTCAACAATCCAATGAGTACGTCTTTATTCCGAGAATTTTCAAATCGACAACTGCGTCAGGAAAGTTAGTTAATTTTTAAACTGCTTTTAAAATACAGCTTATATTCATAGAATATTTCATTATCTGATAGAAAGGCGGTACTATCTACACTGCGCTTTGAGTTTATTGCGTAGATCCAATGAAATTAGAAGCTTCTAAAACAGTCCAATTTAAACATGGCAAGTTCAAAATACTTATGCCTCTTTCATTGAAAATTGATTCACTTCCTAACAAGATTCAAACGTGGCGCTGAAAATTTACCCAGTTCGATTGTCAGAAGTGTTAAATGCTATTTCGATATATAGTAACAATTCTCATACAAAACATTAATATCGTTTTTTTTTTCAGGAAGGCCACAGTTTATTGCGTCTTTACAATCTTCTCAAATTGCTGGTTTAAATAATCAGATGATGCATATCGCAACATCTGCATCGAATACATTAGAATTACCCATGGTTGGTGGTGTATCGACAGCTGATTATACTTCACGAAAGATAAATAAAACGCTACTCGCGGTATCAATTATCCAGAATGATTTCATTCATGCGTATAAGTCTTTATTACCCATTTTCGAGTTTCTTTAATTAAACGACTAACTTTTGCAACTTCCATTCTTTACTTTGTTGGTAACTTTCAAAAAGCAAAAACATTCCATATAATTTTGTCATTAAAATTATTTAGCCAAACAGGATATCAAAGGTGCCTGGAGTTATGACAACTTCAGAATCTCACATCGGACCTGCCAAAGATCGGTCGCCAGTTCGGAGAAGTACTAACACTGCTGGTATTCAAACTGCTGCTACGGTATCTCAGGCAGCTTGCTCAACAAGTGGACTTAGTGTACAGTTTGTTCCAGTTTGTCGGTAAATTTCATATTTTATTTCTATTAGCAACTTTTTTCAAATTCACCTCGTGAAATCTAGTTCTTGCCAGATTAGATGCCTCAAGGATTTTTTTTACCAGGTACGAAGATATACAAGCAATACGGACCGCAGCATTCCATCCAACTGGTCAATTTTTCGCACTGGGAACCAATTCGAAACAAATGCTTATCTGTAAATATCCTGACCTCAGGAAGTTCAGGTACTTTTTGCCTTTATTTTGAGATTTTTGCCGTGATGGCACAAATTTTATAGCATAGAAAAAAAACGATCCAAACTCTTTGTCACTAAAAGTCGCAAAAAATTATGGTCGTTCTGATAAAAGAAGCAATAGTCAGATAATGTCAGACATACCATTTTGTAGAAAAGAAATAACAATTGCTCCTACTCACTAAACTAATAATGAACCTTTCAGAAGGATGACCAATGTAATGAAGGATAGGAATCACAAATAGATTACCCGAAATAAATGCTCAGACTAGTAAAAAAAGTATTAAACAAAAATTCAAGAATTTAATTGAATGTTTCAGAAATGTAATCTTTTAATTCAGGAAATTTTTTAAAATCATTTTGTGATTTAATTGAATGCTTCATTCCAGACCTGAAGATGCTCCGGGTCATGTTGAGATCGTGTTATCAAGGCCAAAACAGCATCGTGGCAGTGTATATTGTTTGGGATTCAATCCTACCGGTGAATTACTTGCAACGGGTTCCAATGATAAAACACTTCGATTAATGGCTTTTAACACTGAAAACTGCAAAATTGGTGCGCTTTTATACATTTGAAAATCGAGATTAGTTTAATTCTCAATTTGAAAGTTCCAGTCGGTTTCCAGTGCGAAAAATTGACCAGTTCACAGTGCGAAAAATTGCCAGTTGGATGGAATACTGCGGTCCATATAGCAATTTTTAGAAAGACAAATTTTCCCATTAGTATTTTCAGAAATGATAAAGTTGTGTCAGGCAGCCAGCTACATTTTAGAAAATTCAGGTGCAGAAACGGAGCTGAATATTCACGATGGTACAGTTCGTGACCTAATTTTCATGGAAGATAAGAGTAATAGAAGTGCAATATTGGTTTCCGGTGGCGCTGGTAATTGCCGCATTCATTTAACGGATTGTGCTACGGGTCAACCATTAAGCTCGTATCAGGGACATATCGGTGAGTTCTGATTGATCAGAATCTACCGATACTTTTAATGATGCGCTTATAATTATATCAATCAATATTTCTCCTTTCCGAGAAAATTTTTCTAAAATTCAAATAAAAAATCCAACAAAGTCATTAGCTTTCAGCTCCTATTCTTGGCTTATATACATGGTGTAACGAGTATTTTGTTAGCTGCTCACAAGATAAAACGATTAGATTTTGGGATCTGAGAGGCGCAGAAGCTATAAACATCATATCTCCGAATTTTAAAACTTCTAGTAAATCTTTTTTGTTCCTTGCCATTGAAATTTGTTCCTGTTTTGTTCATAAAAGTAATTAGTAATATTCTGAAATACATCAATTCAATAATAATTTTATTTGCTCTGTCTATCTCAGATGAATTCAATAATAATTTTATTTGCTCTGTCTATCTCAGATGCACCAGTGACATCAGTATGCGTAGATCCAAATGGAAAATTATTAGTATCGGGACACGAAGACGCATCAGTTATGTTATATGATATTGTCGGTGGTAAAATTGTGCAAATTTATCGACCGCATGGTGATGAAGTTCGTACCGTACGATTTAGTAACGCTGCATATTATCTTCTTAGTGGCTCGTACGATAAAAGGTAGCTTTATTAAATAAAACTATATAAATTTTCTCATGTTTTTTGAAATGTTCAAAGTGATTGATCTGTCGTTATAGAGTGGCTATCACAGATATGAGAGGTGATTTGATGACACCCCTAATGTATCTTCCAGTTGCTGAACATAATGATAAAGTGATACAGTGCAGGTATTTTCGATTTTCACTTAGATCACCTATCATAATACATTTGTCATTACATTTTGGTACAATAAGCTGCGTTCATTTTTATGCTTGTATATTTACCATGATTAGATACACGTACGCAATCAAGATAACATATTTTATAGTTGGACTGAGATTATCGTCAAAAAAATTTTTACCAGTCTTCATTTTTTTTCCAGGTGGCATCCACATGATTTCTCATTTCTCAGTACCAGCGCTGACCGTACGGCAGTATTATGGTCGCTTCCACTTCCACTTCAATATCATTAATATTCTTCGAAATTTGCTTTCAAAACTGAGTTATTGGAAGAAGCATAAATATGTTCTATTTTTACTCGCAATTAAAAACCATTTATTTCTATAATTGCAAGAATTCTGTTAATCCTGAATGCTTTGTATTTATTCCTTGCGTTGCAATTGAAATTTCACTTAGTGGTTGAAAGTTTTAAGATTCCTATTTTAAGAGAATTAAAAAAAATTTCATAAGGGTGTTCTGACACTTGAAAACGACAATGATTATTCTTAAAAGATGGAAGAGATTACTTGGAAGATATGGCATTCCGCAAGAAGGTATCTAACTGAAGGCAATACTGCTTGATGTAGAAGACTTTATGATATAAAGATAAATCAATTTAAGACAGAAACAAGAATCTCAATAATTTATTCATCTTATTTCCTTTCATTCATAATATTCCGGCATAGATTCAATCTTCCGGCAACTAACTTTAGACAATTAACAACAATTAACTGTCCCTGATGCTAAGCACGTCGTTTCTTCTTAGCTCATTAGGATGGATTTCGGAGATACATAACGTATTATTGCATGAACAAAGACGATGGAAGTGAATATAGAAGGAGAGAAAACGAACAAGAGAGAGTGGACAAAAGAGAAGGGAGTGCCTCACGGTAGCTCATGAACTGCTTTGGGATTGCAGGATCAAGTCTCACGGAGCAGGTATTATGAAGCTAAAGTAAGATTATATTATGAAGCTAAAGTGAAACGACTTCGGTCTCTCATTTCCTCTATTTCTGTTTGTTATTTTGATTAGAAACGGAAGCACACTGCTGCTGAGATGTCTTCAACAGCGTATGCCCTCAACGTGGCAACCTTACATAACGCCATCCCATCTTACACACAAATGAAGACTTCATTCTCTTTCTGCAGAATCGACCAGGATTCGTTTTCCAGTTAATACCATATCTTCCTCTCATCCAGTAGGATTGCCCAGATTTTCCAGCAAGGGCCTACTTCTACCACCAAAAAGAGGGAGGAAGCGTTTCCACTTTGATTTGTCTTCCTGTTCTCTCTTTTCTCTGTCCACCTCCTTCTCTTGATCACTTTCAACCTCATACCGTGACGTGTCGGAATAGCAAAGGGTACAGATTCATTTCACGAAATAAGTTCAGGTAAAAATTAAGATCTGGCTCCATGTCAGCCGAAATCCTTCTATTATTAACGGTTGCTGTGTGACATATTTTACAAATTTGTAAGGAATTGTCTTACTCTGTCAGTCCTTTCATTGATTACTGCTGCAGAGTATTCTGGTCGTTGGAACTCTGAAGGAATCTCATAAATCGTTGTTAAATTCACTGCTTCGGAATGAATAAATTGCAAGAAATCACCGAACAGATCGATTTCGCCGCGGAGGAAATGAAAATATTGCAATGGTGGCGAGAAGAGAAGATATTTGCAAAGTCTTTGGAGTAAGTCTTATTGTTGTTTACATTGCATAAGCGATTCCTTTAAATTCTCATCAGTAATGTTTTTACCTTAATCAAACTGAGGTAATATGTGTAGTCGTAAAAATTGAAGTACTTTTGAACTATTATGCAAATTTATGAAAATATCTCCATAATTAATGCAGACACTTCAATTCTTTAAAATATTTTCCACATTTGTGGAAATCCTTATCAGTCATTATATTTTGTGTTAAATCTAGGCTCAGCAAAGGTCGTGTGCGTTACACATTTTACGACGGCCCTCCGTTTGCTACAGGTTTGCCTCATTACGGTCATATTTTGGCTGGAACTATTAAAGATGTTGTTGCTCGCTGGGCACATCAAAATGGGTGTTATGTTGAACGTCGCTTTGGTTGGGATACGCATGGTCTACCAGTAGTATGTTTCGAAATTTTTGTTGGGTTTCATCAAATTTTTAAAAAAATGCTAAATCTTCGTAAGGTGGGAAATGAAAAGATATTATTTTTAAGGATACAGAAATATCATTTCAGGAATATGAAATCGATAAAATACTTGGTGTTAAAGGTCCTCATGATGTCCTAAAACTAGGCATTGATAAATATAATGCTGAATGTCGAAATATTGTCATGCGATACTCGTCAGAATGGGAGGTTTGTCGTCATTATTTCATTTGAATCTTTTCATAGTTTCGTAAAATATTTTCAAAAGCAGTCATGTTCCTAATAATTGTGTATCTTTTATGTAGTTTGTTAGTTCTGTGGAATTTTTTATAGAATACGGTTGAACGTATGGGACGCTGGATTGATTTCCGAAACGATTATAAGACACTTTATCCATGGTTCATGGAAAGTGTTTGGTGGGTCTTTAGTCAGTTATTCAAAAAAGGACTTGTGTACAGAGGAGTCAAGGTGTGTTTTATCATTTTCTTTCTTTTCTATGCTCAGTCATGCAAATAATTATGTTAGTTATTTAATGAAAAAATTTTCTTTTGTTTTAAATTTGGTTTGAAAATATATTCCTCAATATGAAAAACATATATTCTTCAATATGTTATCACATTGTTTTATGTTTTGGAAAACTACACCAATATTTAAATTCAGGTCATGCCATTTTCGACAGCTTGCTCTACACCGCTTTCAAATTTTGAAGCTGGACAAAACTATAAAGATGTTGTAGATCCTGCAGGTGTTCTAAATTAATAGTTATTTCTACAATTATGAATCATCATATCATTCAGAAAGTATTATTTGAGCTTCTTAAAATTTTAGAGGATTCTATTTTAGAGAGTTCTATAGTTTGGAATTAAAAATTGTTCAAAGTGGGAAGAAATTAACACAGGGAAATCTTTATAAATAAATGCATTGTTTTTGCTTCAACTACCCAAGAGCCTTATATCAGATGATGTTTTTAGTGGTTGTTGGCTTCACATTGGATGATGATTCATCAATACAACTAGCTGCGTGGACGACAACACCATGGACTTTACCGAGTAATTTATGTATTGCTGTTCATCCAGATCTTATTTACGTCATCGTTCGGGATAAAAAAACTGAAAAAAAATACATCTTGATGGAAGAGGTGACTTTATTTAGAGTTTATAAAAAAACGATATAAGTGAAAAGGTCCTATTTGCAAAAGCAGTGTGAGAAAAAAGCGAAATAAAAGACTGCTGTTTTACAAATAAACTTTACCACAGTTTAACTGGAAATGAATCATGAGAGCAGTTGTTGACAGCCATCTTCACCTACTCTTTCTCTTAGTCAGGCTGAAACATATGAGTGAATCATAGAGTTCATATTCTCATTATCAAAATTAAAAAATAATTGAATATCGTGTTAATGTAGACAATCATGGAAATTCAGTTTTAAATTATAATAATTCAACCTTAATTTACAGAGAATATCCGAATTGTACAGAGATGTTGAAGATTACGAGATTCTGGATCGATTCAAAGGGAAAACATTGGAAGGTAAAACTTACCGGCCACTTTTTCCATATTTCTACGAAATGAAAAGTAAAATTGGCGCATTTCGAGTTCTTGTTGCTACATATATCACCACCGATCAAGGCACTGGTGTGGTGCATCAATCTCCTTATTTTGGAGAGGTAAATTATCCGAAGTGCTTTTTCGTTTTCTTTCCTCGTTTCCTTTCCTCTTGAATTTTTTTTCCCGTATTCAATTATTTTCTTAATACTGTTAAGCACTCATCTCTGTTAGTTTGCTAGATTTCAAGCTGCTAAGTTCTAATGAGACTTCAAATTATATATTCCAAAACAAATTAAACGATGAGTTTATAATGATTTTATTCTAATAAATTGAGATTGATTGCATTCAGCTTGACTTTCAAACATGTTTGGATAATGGTGTAATAACTCGTGATATGAAACCAATCTGTCCAGTTGATGAATGTGGTCGGTTCAAGGATGAAATCACTGATTTTTGCGGCCAGTATGTAAAAGATGCAGACAAAAATATTTGCAAATATTTGAAGGTTTGTAGTGTGAATAAGAAAACATCGTTGAATAATAATTAACCCAGAGTTTAATTTTTTTGATTTTCGTAGTTTCTTCTTACTGTTTATTATTTAGTGCTCAGTATTCCTGAATCATGCTGTGAAATTTTATTAGTTTTAGCAACATGGAAGTCTTGTCAAACTGAGTGAAGTGAAGCACAGTTATCCATTTTGTTGGCGGTCGGATACACCACTGCTCTACATGGCGGTACCATCCTGGTTCATTTGCGTTGAGAAAATCGTACCAAAATTACTAGCTAATAATGACAAAACTTATTGGTTAGTTTGAGATGAAATATTGAAATAGATTTTTCCAAGGTTCCGTCATTTATAAAAAGAAGAGATTTAGTAAATGATTAAAAGATGCTCATGATTGGATTGTTTAAGATTTTGGAGCACTCCAATAAATTTATGATTGAGTGATAATTTGGAAGAAATCGTTGCCTTCAATTGCTGAACTGGAAAAATTATCCGGACAATAAGTGACTAATCTGGAAAAATTATCCGGGCAAGAAGTGATTAAGCATGAAAAAGAGTTACTGTTTAAGCTGCGACATAGACACTTTAATTTTTTGAATTAATCTGCGGTGAAATATTGAAGCAGTTTTTCCAGGGTTCCGTCATTTGTAAAAGAGAAGAGATTTGGTAATTGGTTAAAAGATGCTCGTGATTGGGCTGTTTCAAGAAATCGATTTTGGGGCACTCCAATAAATTTATGGATAAGTGATGATTTGGAAGAAATCGTTGCCCCATCTTCAATTGCTGAATTAGAGAAATTATCCGGGCAAAAAGTGACTGACCTGCATAGAGAAAAGTAAGTCTTTTGGAAATTGCATGGATTAGAGTGGCTTATGGATCTACTGGATGTTTGAAATAAAAAGAGAAAATTTAATTCTGAATAGATGCGTTCAAATGTGAAGTTTTTCCAGTGTCGATCACATTACAATACCATCATCTACTGGTCGTGGCGTATTGCATCGGGTTAGCGAAGTTTTTGATTGCTGGTTTGAGTCCGGTTCAATGCCTTATGCTCAGAACCATTACCCGTTCGAAAAAAAAAATGATTTCGAGAATAATTTCCCAGCAGACTTCATCGCTGAAGGTTTTTGATCTTTGTTTTATGAATATGATATTTTCATGGATAGCAAGAAGCTGAGTATGATGAATTTTTCTTTTCACGCCATAGAATATAAAATTTTGGAGTCGGGAGTGATCCCAAAACTCTATAATCCATCGCGGGGCAATATTATATTAATAACTTGTTAGTCAGAGAAGTAAGAAATATATGGAAAGCAATCGCTTGTGTTGAGGAAATGAGTGGTTAATGGAGTTGTTAACTGGATAATATTTACTCAGAACAAAAAATATCAGAAGATCAAAAACTGAAAAAAGCGTAGCTTATTCAATTGACAGAGCCTTTCCATTTTCCTAACAGTGAAAAAAACTGCATTACTGCAAAAATCAAAAAACTGCAAAAATCATTAGCTCCGAATTTAAAGGAGCTAATGATTTTTTTTTTTGAATTATGGTTTATCAAAACTGGGCTCCTAAATCGTTTTTTGCTATATCTCGAAGTTAAGAATTTGCTGGTCAGTGATTTATTTTCCTAAATTGCCTCTATTCCTGAAGTGTATATTATTCATTTAAATTCCTAGTTATTACAAGTTTTATTTCTAATTGGGTTGTAATTTCATAGGTATTGATCAAACACGAGGTTGGTTTTATACCCTTATGGTTCTCTCAACGGCGCTCTTTGATCGACCACCGTTCAAGAATCTTATTTGCAATGGTCTAGTACTTGCTGCTGACGGCTCGAAAATGTCGAAACGAAAAAAAAATTATCCAGATCCTTTGAAAGTTAGTTGTGGAAGGTTTTATAAATTTTTAAAACTTTTACAGACAGTAAGTTTCATATACAAATATGGCTGTGTGGTATTATTGATCATTGCGAATCTAAGCGGACTTTGCAGATTGTTGGAAAATATGGTGCTGATGCTTTGAGAGTTTATTTGATCAATTCACCTGTTGTTCGTGGAGAAAATTTGCGTTTTCGGGAAGAAGGTGTTAAAGATATTCTGAAAGATGTATTATTACCATGGTATAATGCATATAGATTTTTCGTCCAGAATGTGCAAGTTTATGAATCTGTTGGTTTTTCGTTTATTAAGTTTTTTTGTTTCCTTCATTTAAAAAAAATTTCAAACTCAAAAAATGCTACCATCATTTGCACAAGATAACATATTTCAGATGTATAGTACTTAATATTTCAAATTTATATCGTCTACTTTTTTATTCTACAAAAATGATATAATTTTGAAACAAATTGATTCATATTTTAGACGAATAATAAAGGCTTTGCATTACTGGATGCTAAATCGATTAATATAATGGATAAATGGATTATGTCGTTTACCAACAGCTTGCTTAATTTTGTTAGAAATGAAATGAGTGCGTATCGACTTTATGCAGTCGTCGCACCACTAACGAAATATTTCGACTCCTTAACAAATTGTTATATACGTTTAAACAGGAAAAGGATGAAAGTAAATCTTTATTTCTTCTAAGTTTTCATGAAGTTGAATCTGTAGCAAGCATATCATAATCTCTACAAACTTACGCAGTTATTGCCTTTTTTATTGGGAATGCCCCCCCGTCATCAGTTGGATCCTACCACTTTTCTCTTTAAAATCCAATTTTTTAGCTTCTGTCTTTACGATTATAAAAATTTATTTTATTATTTCACTCGATATACTCAAAAAAACGAATGTTCTACTTTATATGCTCAAAAAAAGAATGTCTACCCAATTGTAGGGTGAAGATGGCGTAAAAGATTGTGCGCACGGCCTTTCGACATTAGGAAAAGTTCTCCTGCTGATCGTCCGACTTATGGCACCATTTACACCTTTTTTTTGTGAACATTTGTGGCGTAACTTACGGCATATTTCTTTATCAACCAATGAATCCGTACATTTCGAAATGATTCCACAGCCACTGTAAAAATTCAGTTAATCGTTCATTGAGTTTAAACAATTTTTGTGTATTTTAAAGGCATTCTCACTATTATTCACTTTAAGTCGCTCTGTGAAGCGATGTTTTTATCAAGAAAACTGATTGGCATGTGGGATAGCTAATTTGAAGCTTTTGGAAATATTTATTTTTACTAACTCACTATTGCTTTCCTTTTTGTGGTCGGCTGCAGGAAGAACCGTATTTTCGGTTGTTTTAGTTTAAATTTAAAATCTACTGGAAGATACACATCCAATTTTTTTAGAAATGATTTAATAGACAAATCAGTGGAAAAAAGAGTTGCAAGAATGAGAGCAGTTATTGATCTCGTTCGGGTCTTACGGGAAAGAAAAGGAATACCAGTCAAGGTGCATAAATTCATATTTTTCATTATGTTATGAAATTCAATTTTTTTTTTCATCATGTTATGAAATTCATGCATAAATTCATATTTTTCATCATGTTTCATTCTTTACAAATTCTCTCACCTCCGAGTTTTTCGATATCTAATTACTATATATAATGTATCTTCTGCTAATGCAATCAATATTTTGCAGTATCCACTGAAAGAGATGATCGTAATCAACCGTGAAAAGCAATTCTTAGATGACGTTCTCTCACTGCAAAATTATATTATAGCAGAAGTTAACGTAAGAACGCTAACGGTTTCACACAATAAGGAGAAGTATGGTGTCTACTTGAAAGCTGAACCAAATTTCCGCTTACTTGGCACCAGATTGAAGGGTGATCAGAAAAAAGTGGTCGATTACCTGAAGGTTGTTGTGTGCAAATTTATATATTTTTTAAATTGTTTTCTGTTGAAAATATAAGCGTTTTTAGTTCTCGATTTTTGTATCCTTTTTACCTTGAAAAAATCTCCATTGTACAATTGTTATGTGAGGCATAAAGTCTCACATGAGGCTCACATGACGCTTTATGCCTCTCATTTTATAACGATCGTGCAATGGAGAGATTTTTTTGCATTGATAAGAGTGTTTGAGGATTCGTCGGGTATTCATTCAAAAAAATGGAAGTCATATTAGACAGTCCACTTTATTTTTAGTGGTAAATTCAGAATATTTGAATTATTTACGTTTTCAAAGCACTTGCTTTCCACTCAATATTTTTAGTCAGGAAGATTTCCTTTTCTTTAGAATAAAGTTACCGAGAATGAATTGGAACAGTTTGCGGAACGAGGTGTATTGAATATATTAGGTTATGAATTGACTGCTGAAGAAGTGAGCTTATCTTATGGATGTCGTGATGTCCAAACTACTGGTGAACAAATGGAAGCACACTCAGATGGACAGGTATTTATGAAATTGTATTATTATTTGTTTATATCTATATTTGTGACTCTAAAATCTTAATATTCTAGCGGTAGTTGGTGTTCCATAATTTATGAAGATTTTTAAGTTTTATTCTATGTAACTATGACTTTTTTGCAAAAAATTCTGGTTATACTTTGAAATCCTTATTGTACAATTTAGACAATAGTAATAGTGGATATAACAGAAGATAACGCTCTGAAAGACGAAGGTTTTGCACGCGAAATTATCAATCGCGTCCAGAAACTTCGTAAAAGTGTAAGCTCTTTTTTTATCGGAAATAAAAGAAATAAGAGAATAAAAGGAGTGCTGGGTCTTTTTAAGCAGTAATGCACATTTAACTTCTAGTTATCATATAGTTTTTCATTATTATCTTTCATTATCATTCTTTTCAACAAAAGTTGCATCCCAACTCCCTATTCATATTTTAATGTAAGATCGTTGTTCCACAGTTTTGGAAGAAATAGTGAAAACTGTGTTATCTGCAGGCCAAATTGATGCCGAACGATAAGGCGATAGCATATTGTACAGTAAGTCCTTTTACTCATCGTTTGGTTACAGTAATTAAAGACTACAATGAATTTATTGAAAACACGACTGGTACTCCAGTACGTTTATCCGGTGTACCGGATGGTGCAATGTCAGTTGCAGTTTCTTGCAGCTCAGTGAAAAATGCACAAGTAGAGGTATGTTGGCACTTTTCTTTTCAGTAAATTTTTGTTTCTTTTTAAAAGTGTTAAAATACGTTTTGGTATTAAATGACAATTACACTGGAAGAAATCACAAGTTTTTCTCTACATCAAATGGATTCACTTTTTATAACCCACACTTGACCATTTTTCTATGGACATTTCTAATCTAAGTTGATTTAGTTACATCTGGTCTGCCATCGGACGACTTCATTCGGTGTAACAGTACATTATGGTTCCAGAAAGCATCGTATATTACTGGTAGCAAATGATGAAGTCCTAACACATGCAAGATTACTTTATGAGATACGTGCCATCTTTTCCTTATGGTCCAAGTCGAAGTTATTGCTTTCTTTAGGGCCACTACCGATGAAAACATATATTTCGTCCAACTGTAATTTGCTTGATTTGGCCGACAAAGACATTTATGTCATTGCTTCTTGAATTTATGAGCAGAAATGTTCAAATTATATTTGGGATTTCGATTTCATAATCTCTTTTTAATCGTTGACTTTTTTTGTTTTCGCTGAAATATCACCTGTACTTAAAATTTGGTATAACTTATCTCATCCTATCTCTTCCACATGAGACGATTTAAAATACGTCTGAGGAGCACATTTTTTTTTCAGTTTAAAGGATATGGGATTTTAAGGTATTTTCGAGATTTTCTATTTAATATTTGTGGCAACTCTAATATGTGTGCTATCTCCGATGATCTTGTAAACATTCTTAGCACATCCTATTCGTTTAGCTGTAGCATCACAGCTGTAGCATCACAGTCAACCTTGCAGAATTCGTGCTCATTAATTCTCTTCTGGTGTACTCAGAGCTATTCTTCCATGGCATTGTTTGTTTTTCGTTGACACAGCCTTGTTATTTTGTCATTTGATACTTGTTATTGGCTTATAAATAATTTGTCACATATTTGTGAGCCTTCAAATCAAAAAACCTGCATTTTTCTATTTCAATTGCATTTTAAACTATAAGAACAGATTATATCATATAGGACAAAATTTTCTTGGCTATTTCTAAAGATTACCATGTTAGATATTTGAGCCAATAGATCCGATGAGAAATTTCTTTGTTTATAGATAAGTGAGCTGATCAATTTAGAACAAAAGAGACTGCTGTTTTTAAAATTTACTGCGCGGTGTTGAAATATATTTTGTCAGTTGATATTATTCGTAAATAAGTATAGTTAGTATTAAAGTGGAAAGCTAGATTTCTTTCAAGAATTTAATGACAAGTTTCTTTATACAAAAATTCACATCAAGGAGTTGAATTCACATCAAGGGGTTGATTCACATCAAGGAGTCATAGGAGTTGAGAAATGGTGGCACTGTCAGGTAGGTCCTGGTGGTTCTGGCTCACTCTCTTCCATCGTAATCTTCAACATTTTGAGCTGTTGCATAAGAAATTCCTTTTCCATCTTCAGTGTCTGCACTTCACTTAACGCTTCATCGCGCTCCGACCTTATCTACAAAATGATATATCAATATAATATCTTTAAATCTAAAAATAGTTTAGTTTCTTAATATAGTAAACCCGGTCCAATTTCCATTTCAATAAATAACCATTTATGCAATCATCAGCTTTTCAGCTTTTCTGAGGAGCACTAAGCATTAGACATATTGATTTAGCATTAAGGTGTAATAAGTGTAATTCTTTTATGGGAATGAAAAGTAAATCAATTGGCATTGTTATCATTTTGACAACTTTCAAATCTATAAAAATTGAACGAACTGACCGCTTCAATTTCTCTTGCATCCTTTTGTGAAGTTGAACCGCTATTGAGGAAGGATGTTTGTTCTTGGAAACGTTTTAACTCCTCAATCTATAAATCACAAAATTAGTTTAAAAAATAAAATTAAATATATCAAGCAAAAAAATACAGCATATCATACTGATGCAGTAATAATTTTTCTTCACCACAAAAATATCTTTCAAAATACAGTAATTGATGCATTTTGAAAGATGAATATTTATAGTGGAAAAAGAATTTATTCTAAAGACGGGACGAATTGGTATCCATATAAATAGGAAATGTATGAGTGATATTGGAAACCGCGATGCTTGTTCAGGAATTTGAAACTTTTCCCATAATACAACCTAATAATTTTAATATGGCAGATAGTGAACTATAAGTTAAGTGCATTGTATAAATATTTAAAGAAACCTCCTCTTTTGCAGCTATACGAGAAGCTTCAAGTTCAGTACATCTAGCTTCCATCATCATTAATTCAGTTTGTAATTCACTACATCGATTCTCCAATCTTCTCATACTCCTATAATATCGTTTCTTTTTTTATTTCCTTCTCCTAAAAATATAAAATTCAAATATTTCGATCGGCGAAATCTCTTTAAATGAAGAAATACCGAAAAAAAAGCACTCACTCGAACAGCTTTCCTTGTGATCCATCCAAACGCATCCATCGTGAATAATTAATATCTAACTGTAAAAATTAATTATTTTTACCTTGAAATGGATGATAAGCAAAAAGAATAACGAATGGATGATAAGAATGATTGATAGCACAAAGATGAAATTCTGGAATGGTTTGATTCACTGAATTTTTCTATTGTTTTTTTCCATTAATTAATAAACAAAAAAGAAAAAAAGGAGCATTTATAAGCTTATTTCTTTAATTTCATTAAAGTATTCCTAAATGCTATTTCCATTAGTTTCGAATAAAAGGAATGATATCACTATCTTCTCATTTGCTTCGAATTTGCATAATTAAGTGTCTACTATATTATGTTTTCTTTTTCTGTTATAACTTCATAAATATTAAATCGATACCAAAGAAACTTTAAACGGACAATTGTAACTGAGGAATGACAAACGGTACGAATTTGATAATACGAATTTACAAATGCAAAATAATATAAGTTTATTTAGTGCAAATGCAAATGCAGCATAATGCATACCGATTGATCGGTAATCGTTGAGACGTGCATATATTCCGGTCGTGCCTGGCACTCTTCATCAAGCATTATTGGTGGTGTCTCTGGCAGAGAACTCACTTCTAATGGCTAAAATAATCATCATATTTACTAATAAAAGAATTTATGAAAAAGATTCGATTTCATTACTTTCCAATCAATAAAACTCTCAAAATAAAAACATCATTTCACTGAAATTGTAAATATTGTCCTATTTTTTGTTGTTACCGCCACAATGTTTTTCATTCTTCTTGAAATGAATTGATGGTTGGTACTTTGAAATTCTAGTTTTCAATAAATTAACCATTCGATTGGCTATTCGTTCTTTTTGCAATAAGTGCATGTGAGCTTTCATTAGTGAATTTTCAGCTTCTACAGTTCGTTTCGCACTTAATAATTTTTTATTCTCCTCCTGAAATAACTCTCACGATGAATTTTTTATTGATTTCATTTTAGAAAAGACTATATTATCACTAACACGGCGAGAATTAATGCAACGAATGAAATTGTCTCATTAATTGTTTTAAGGCTTCGAATGATCACACAGTTGTAATTAATGGTTCTTAATTACTGTTGCAATTACAGCAGTTTGATACAAGATAATTATTTCCAGCTATAGACTGACTACTTATTTTTCCACCACTAACTTTGGCTTCCGTAAGCGCTATCCGTAACGAATGTCCTTCTTCACGAGCACGATTTCGTTCGTTCCGTACTGTACTCCATTTCTGCCGCCATGATGCAGTACATTCTGACCACCAGCGCATCGTCTTTTCCATTTGAGCGGCTCGTTGTCGTGCCTGAAGATTATTGGTAAAACGGTGGATATCTTCATTCTAATTATTTTGCTGTACTTACTGAAACACAAAATAAGCCTTAATGGATAATTCAAATTGATGACAACTTGATTACTAATAATTAGCATATGATGGAATTGTTATAAGAGTAAAAATAAATCGAAAACGAGTATTACAATTTTCGAGAAATACTCACAACAGAGGATAACTTCGATTAAATTTAATGAAATTAAAATACTTCGTTAAGCTCTTGAAGTCGTGCCAATTCGCAAGCATCCCAATCTGTATGTTGACAGCGACCCCATGTGTTCCTTGCTGCAAATATACCCTTTAATTCTAAAAAAAATGATTATTGTGATAATGAGATCGATATACTAAAACTCTAATCTCTCTACAATTAATAAATAAATGACAGATATTAATTAATAAGTTAATTAATTTCTATTTATTTCCGCAAGATTAGCTTAGCAAAAATTGAAAATTAACAATGATTTACAAACATAACACATTTCACATTCTTTGCATATTATTTTTAATAGATTGCAATCATTTTTAATATATTAAAGTTCTATTTTTAGTTGGTTAAAATTTAACTCTCAACTCTAAAGCTCCACAGTTCAATCTTAGTTTAGTATCTAGCAAGTAGTAAATAGTAAACGAGTGAGATAGAGTTAAATAACAAATTAGAACCAAATGAAGAAGTTATTTGCATCTGCCTGGTTTCTTTACCTGAGATTCAAGTCAAATTCAAAGTATAATATGAAAGTCTGTAAAACAATATTCCTCATTTGGTTCATTACTGAACTGATTGTCACCATCGTTACTGATTTATACACTATCACTAAACTATCAAATATTATCATTATATTACTGAAAAGAATAGCACTACCTATAAATTCTGAATAAATAAGAGTTAAATATTATTGTCCATTTCATAATTAAAGTCACCGTGGAAAAATGTTTTTTTACCTGCCAGGTATGATCAAAAAATTACATATAAACTGAATAAATCTTGCTGACAATTGCACTTTTTTCTATTTTTAAACGACAAATATCTGAATAAAAATGATGTGAAATAAAATTGAAATGTAAACGGTAATAGAATGAAAAAAAAATTCAAACCGCTGATATCGGAATATCGGTTATAAATAGTAGCATCCATAGAACTGTGATCAGTCATCGTTCTTAAGGAAAAGCTTGGGAGAAAATTCGAGCTTTCACACAATCAGCAAGATGCTTAATGCAAAATGATAGGAGAATTGTTGACCGAGCGGAATGGGAACACATGACGCTTACGCGCATTTCATTCACCTTAGCTTTCCCGTCATAGCAGCAAATTGATACGAAGCATTTAGTTGAAGAATTTCAGCAAAATATTCACTCTCGCTAATCAACACAAATTTTGTATTAAAGCATTCATTTAAAAATTCTGATTACTCTCTAAATGTTTGAATTACCGTGGAACATCATTAATTCATTAATTGATATTCTTTTCCTGTATCTGGTAAATATCTTTGTGTTTCCTTGACTTCTTCCCGAACTACTTGGTATTAATTGCACTTCTTTTCTTTCATTTACTTGCAAGCCTTCTTCCTTTAGCAATTTTGTTGAACAGATCATCACATGCTTATCAAAAGATTTATTATATCATTATTGTTATATATGAGCAATGCAAAAAGTTTATTAATGAGCAATTTCTCCACTGCATGATAAATAACATTCTATGAGATAATTTTGGAGTAACTATATTTGACTAAGTTCTAAAGATTTAATTATAATTCAATTATGATATTAATTATTCTATTTTCTTCCTTCCGATCCTTACTTATCGTGCTTATCTTTCGTCTTAATATAATCGCTGAATAACAACATTGTTAAATGAATGTTTTATAAAATTTCAAAAGTTCTGCTATTTCAACAATATCAATCTTTTAAAGTAAGGGTTAAAGGAAGTGATAAGAAAGTAAAAGATATTACTAACACACTAGCAAATAACTTCAAATGATTTCTTTAGTTGTAATATTATTGAAATTTCATATCAGTGGAAGAGAAAGACAAATCATAGCAGATCATAACAGCACCATACATTTAAATATTAAAATTATTATCAAAATAACTATACTAAATAAGTGAGGGTTTTAGAAAACAAAAAGAAAATATATGATCACAATATGCTAATTCCTGTTCGAAATGATAGCACGTAATCGATAATATATACAATAACATTGATGAATATTAGCGCCTGTAAGTATACAAGCATTTTCAAATTCTCAATCTTTCATTCCATACACTTTATCGCAATTTGCATTATTCTAATCACAAAAAAAAAAATAGTAAAGGTTGAGAAATGATGACTAATAATAGCTAAAGATTAACTGCCAGCTGCAAATTTGTTAATAATTAAAAATATTTCTTAATTTTAAACAATTTATGAAAAAAAAACTTACACTTGCAATAATCCATTCTAGCCTATAACAAACTAAATCAATTTTTTCACCATTAGGACATGCTGCATAATATGCTTCTATAGCTCCAATAAATAAATAACCAAATGAACCAACTAAGCTGATCAGATTGTCCTAAAATTAATACATTTATTATATCGTTGTGTATGTGTATGTGTGTATGTGTGTGTATGTATGTGTATGTATGTGTGTGGAACTGAAAAGAAAAATTGGAGGTTTTTAGGAAATCTTTATAAAAAAAATAACTTTATTATAATTCATTAGAAGAAAGGAAATTTGTATGCGCAATGTGCCATTTTCCGCCAATGCCTCATTTATGATAAAGAGGAAAAACAATGAAGAGAAAATAAAGTTAAATTTATTTCATTGCTAAATATCAAAATTCCATCATAAATGTTCAATTTTTTCAAAAAGATTAAGAAGTTGATTATAAAAGTGTAATAATGAGTGGCTGTATTATAGGAATTTATTCATTAGAATAATTAATGAACAGCTGCCATTTGTAGACATTACAGAATTTCAAATTAAAAATGGGAAATAAAAGCTATAATTCATTTTGCGCCTTCCATTTTCTTTTTTCTGCATAAATTATGTCAAAATAAAATAAACTTTTCGGCATTTGAAATTAACTTTATTCTTTTTTAACGAAATAAAAATAACTAACAAATCTTCGCCAAAACATATATCGATAACCCAAACAAACACCAAATAACATAATGAGACATAAAGCTGAGAAAGATGCAGCAATACTAAGTATTAAACCTTGCCATTCGGTTTGTGTCATTTTGACAAATGCGTAAATGGACATTTCGCGCATTGGAGCAACTATAAGTCCTACTGTGGCAGCTCCAAGCAACTAAATCGCTCTTATAAGATGAAAATGATTATTAAATTTTAAGGTATTACATAAAAGAAAATTAATAACAGTTCCTTATCAGTGATTTTTATTTTTTATTTTCGCAATCATTCAATGCAAAGAAGAAATCGAAATAATTTTAATACTAATCTCATTGATTTTATGTAATAAAGAATAAAAGAGAATTGCGATTTCAGAAGTTTGTATTAGTAAAAATTTTAGTTTAAGAGTATCTAAACAAAATACATTCTTTTTTCACGATACATTACAAAATAATATATAGGAAATCTTTTAGAATTCAACTGCTATTCAAAATCTAATTATAATTAACCCAAAGATTATTTAAATAAAGTTTTTCTTTCAAACACTTTTTGTATTATTTAGCATACAGTAGTAATTCGAAATATGTGTGATTTAAAAGTAAGCGAATGAAAAATGATCATTTTCTAATCTATCAAATTATTCAAAAACTAAAAAATGACCAACCAATTCAATTACTTTAATAATAATTCTCATTATTATGGAATATCGTTGGTCATACTTTTCATCCTTTGTTTTTACCGCATTCATGATACTTGGCGGATAGGTTGCATAACTTGGCGTATAATACGGTCGTATTCGTCTTAATGCTGCAGGTTGCATATCCAATTGCACTATAATTCATTTCAATTTCATTCTATTTTCTTTGTAAACATAAAAATTCGTCGTTTACAGCTATATTTTTGCAATGTGTATGAAATATGTTTGCCTCTGTACAATCCATGATAGTAACGAGGTTGTCGATCGATTGGACTGCCACCAAATTCTGATTCCTATAAAGTGATAATTTGAATATTCTTTTAAGCTTGAAATATTTAAAAAAATTAATAATTTTAACCTTATATGTTTGTATTCGGCCAAAAGGTCCTTTCCTTTTTCGATACATTGGCCACTTTCTAACATCCTTCCAAGGACCAGAATAGCTTCTAAAGTAAAGTAAATTATTGAGCTCATTGCTTTGTTAAAAAATTATCATATATGTATATATATATTCACAATTATGATCTTTACAGGAATATAATTGGAAAAAATATTTTAAGTAATTCAATCCTGAAACTGGAACCTATATTCTCTTGTGTCAAAGAAATATGGATCGGCTACATAATCACGATTTCGCTTGATATGCATCATTTTGTGGATTTTTGGTGGTACAGTTCGTGTTGGTACAGTTCTAAAAGAGAAAACTCAAAAATTTTGATGAGTCTTAATTGATTTTCAAAATATTTTATACCACAGTCTATGTGTATATGTAAAGGAGATATTATGATAGTTTTTCATTCATTGAGTTCTTTGTTTTTTTTTATGATTGCTTAATTAATTGATTCTTTTATAAATTACTCAACAGAAGTTAAAACTTTTTTAACAAAAGAGAAAAATTTTTTTAATGAAAACTTTAAAGAGATGAAATTAATGTTGTTTATTTAGTTATAAATTGAAGGATCTAAAAACCTAGATCGTTGATAAAGTGCAGGAGTGATATCAAGTTGTGAGTAACTTCGGCAAGCTGAATTTTGACTTGGATGTATTCCATCATAATAGGAATTCACTAAGGTACGATCTAAAAAATAGTAAAGTTAAAGGAAATTCAAGAAGGAGAATGCATTTTTAAGAGAGGATGTAAGAAAAATTAAGTTAAGTAAAGTCAAAAGTAAATATATCCATTCTTGTTTTGTGAAGTATGGCAGTAAGAAATATAAACATTTTTGGAGACTATTATCTACTTTTTATATTTTTAAATTATCAATATAAAATTGATATCTTTCCTATCCTACACTAATAAATTAATAGAAAATTTTCTTATTCTACAAGTTTAAAAATTTTTTGAAATTTCAAACGAAAAATTTACCATTGATGGGATTGATAGAGTAGGGGATATAAGTGGAATAATCAGAAAGTATGGTAGGAATGGTAGTATTAGCAGTAGTATTTGATTGAACACAAGTCGGATTGTTATACATTATTGATGTTAGGATCGGTTGGTAGCAGTGGTGGCAGTAGGATGAGAGTAGTAGTAGGGATGTTGGTAATATTGATGGTGTTAGCAGTAGAGGTGATGGTGATGTCACTACCGTTGTTGTTAGATATGCAAATAATTGAAGATTCTGCAAAGAATATATCCGAAAAGTTTAACAGTTAGCAGAGCTAAGGACATAGCAGAGACACTTAAAATACTTCACTTACAAGAACAGATAGATGACTCATAAGAAGTGCGAAAGAACACAATTTCAAAAAAAACTCGTATCAAATATTTTCTATAAAGTCTGATCAAGAAAACTAGCGGACTTTACAAATGAATGAACAAAAGCATTATCGAATTCATCAATCAATAAAAAATTTAAATGAAAATTGTTTCGTGAATTTAGTTTTCATTTCAACTTAACATATTCAACATTTTAGTGATAAAACAAATGACAAAAATTTTAAGCATTTTCATTTAGAAAAAGTTATTCGACAAAAGTCAAAATTGGATAATAAAAATATTTGCAAGAGAATAATGTCAGCTTTTAATGAGCCAGAATATTGTAATAAAAAATTTTTTTTAGATATGTAAGTTCAAATTATATTTGTCCATTAAATTTTGAGGCCTTTTTTTAACTAAATAATTAAAATCTTAAATACTTTCAGGTAACAAAAAAAAAGACAATTTCAAAATTAATTAGTCACTTCATTCATCATTATAATATATATCCCTATTCTCGTCATCAATTGATTTTTTTTATAAAATAAAGAAAAATAAGTAACAATATCCGTTCTTGAAATAAAACAATGAATTATTTTATAGGCTTATTAACAAAGTAATAATTTAGAATGAATGCATCGTCGATGATAATTTGTTAGCCAATGATAGTTTATATATAAGAATATAATGGCCAACCAAAAATAAATTATTATAATTATTCGAAAAAGAAAAAATAAGAAGAAAATTGATTTTTCATGAAAATTTGGATGAAAATATTTACAATTATCAGCAATTATATCTAAAAACAATTATCATTTTTTTTTGTTCTGTGTTTACTTAATGATTTTAATTTTAGAGTTTGAGAAAAAATTATGATTATTTCGCATTAAAATTGGAAAAAGTAAAAATTAATAAGTGCGACTTTTTTCTTCATACTAATTAAATATAATATATTATTTTAAAATGAATTGGTCCGAAGTACCAAAATTTTCTTCGAATGCAAACTTTAATAATGATTGTATTAGAAATCATTCTTTGTTCCGCTGTCAATAAATTATCTGAAAATTCAACAATTCTACAAAAAATTTCACAGTTAAAAATTTATGATTAGGTCTAATTGATGAATAACGTCAATGCAAAAATAATTTTCCCTTAATTTTTCACTATTTCATTACGCTTCACCGAAAAATCACATTGAATAAAGAAATTATTAATTCATCGTATCAGTCAGTAATAATTACAAAATTAGAAATGGAATTTTGACACATTCAGAAAGTTATTTAATTATTTCTCAGTTTATTTAAAGAAATCTATTCGTTTAGAAAGTTGAAAATAACAAAGAAATGAAACTGAAAATTTATTAATTTCTATTCAGAAAATTTAAAAGAGACGATATTTATATAATTTAACTTTGATACTTTTAAATTATTCAATATGTGTCAAAACTTTTCTCATTTCTTTTATGTTTTAATAATAATTACAGATTTCACAACTTCAAAATACATTCATTCCAATTTTATCTTCTCATGTTTAAGCTGTTTTAAATTTCAAATAATTAGAAAAGTTCATTTCCCAATAATGAACACTTAATAGGATTGCATTGTTTATAAATGGAAAATTAATTCCCATTAATGATTTTTATCGTAACGCTCTGGAAATTTTTCAGAAGAATTTTTTGTTTGCATACATTTTTCTTTTCCTACTATTAAGTGTGCTGAATATCAAAGCAATATAAAATTTAAGCAGTTCAAGTATAATTTTTAAACAAAAAATTTGAAGAGGAAGATAATTTCAAAATCTCTTCATCGTGCCGAAACATCCTAAAAAAATCTGACAATAGAAATTAATTGAATCGGTTAATCAATTTTTGATTAATTGCTGATAACTGATTATCAAACATATGGATACCGACTTAGTAGTTAGTAAGTGATAATATTCCTTCGATCTCTTTGAAGTCTCTCAGAAAAAAATTAATCAAGAAATCTCGCTAATTGTTAGTAATGATGTATATTGCTAATGAATTAATAAAGGGAGAGAAAAAGAGAAAAAAAGTGCTAAATGAACTTTTGATGTGTGATACTGCGATTAGTATTGCAATAACAAATAAACATACTTTAAAGTATCGGATAATTAAAATTATGATTTCATAATTTGCATAAAAAGAAAATAGATTAAAGGAATACCTGACGTTAAGATGAAAGATATCGTCAGACAATCAATTAAACTCCAAAACATCTTTTCAAGGTGACAAGAATTTAGCATACGAGAAATAGATTAAAAGAATAAAAAGGTTATCGTGGAAAAAGAAAGGGGAAAAGAAATGAGAACGGAATTGATAGAGGGATGAATATTTGTTGTAAAATTTGTAGAAAAGAGAAATAATTCTTAAAGATCTGATTCATCCGATACTTTTTTGATTCATTAACGAAGAACCGCAATAACCAGTTTTCATTGGATTATTTAAAATAATAAATCATTTTATCTGTATATTTTTGTTATTTTAAGCTAAAAAGAATGTAAATATAAGCAAATTAATTAAAAAGAATTTATCTTTCGTATAACTTTTATAAATTAAAATAATCATTTGTTAATTGTTGATTTTTAATAATAAGGATGAGCCGATGAAATTAGTGGCTTATTTTATATGCAGCGATATTAATTAACACAATAGTTAAAATCTTCTATTCATAATTAACAGATAATTATCGAGGACCAAATCAAACTGTTTAGAAATATCAGAGTGATAAAAGATGATTAATTAACGCTGTCAAAGAGATAGAAAGGTTTTTATATTATATTAGGAAGAAGATTTATTAAGAATTAATGAAAAATTGTTGAAATTTCAAAATATCTGAAAAGTTTTATGTTTGATTTTTAGATTAGAATTTTTGATTTGAGAATGGAAATTTCATATGAAAATGGAGATTGGCTGAATTAATTAATGTTTTCAGAATTATTTCCCTTAATTTTTAATGGGAAAGCTCTTAAACATATAAATTAAATGAAACAAATTCATTTACTATTCTGTTAATGAAAGAAAGAAATGAAATTGCATTACGGTGCTTTTTCTAATAACACTTTCATTATTGCATGTTACATTCATATGGTACAATTTAGTAATGCATGCATTCAAACCGAATGATAAGATCAATTATACAGTAAAGATCATTGTTCCAATCGATGATGAATATGATATAATTAGATTAACGTGAGTATTTATCATCGCTTATCAGTCATTTGATTTACTACATGCACTGGATAGATAGAGCTGAAGCAAACTTAAATATAATTAGAATGTACATTGTTCGAGAATCAAACAATAATTCGATTCCATTGTCAATATTATTCAATTTCGGAAATGAAAAAAACATTACTTCTCAAAGTGGCATTCTCTAAGCTTTTTTGCATTAATTGAAATCAATTAACTATCATGTGATTTTTTCCTACCTGTAAAAAGTATCGTTAAAGGTCACTGAAAATCTTTTTCCCAGCCATTCAGTTCCATTTCAAATATTGGTATTCTACCAAATTGTAGAAGTGATCTGTGACTAATTCTAAATATTTTCAATTATTTGAAATAAAATTGAACTCTAAAAAAATTGAAAGATTAATTTAGTTTTAATAAAACTGCTTGAAATATAAAAATAAAGGATAAAATAGAGATTAAAGTAAATGCATTTGTAAAAAATAGTTGTAATGATAGCAATATGTTTAGTAAAGTCTAACCCGGAAAATGACAGTTAGTATATTTTTTGAAATTGCTTCTAATATAAATTCAGCCTTAAAAATAAGGTCATAATTAGGATCGTCAACTAAATATATGTTCCAATATAACATAATGCGTTATGAAATCATATTTTTAATGTATAGTTAAATATAAATAAGTAATATTTTATTAACATTAATATGCTTTCATGAGCCAAAAGTAAGACAATTCTCTGAAAATTAGACGTTGTACGTCTTTAGAATAAAAATCAATATGGTATTTGATTTTACTTCTCGGTAGATGCTGTAATGGTATTATATTGAGGTGATATTAACCGTTGCCGTAAATTGGAACGATAATAGAAATTATCTGGAAAGAAGATGTTGTAAGTTACTAGATGACGCAAATATTACGCCTTTCAATTTACTCGTTTCTATCAGATGAAATTTGAAATGCATGAAATAATTAGCAGTGTGTATAAATAACTTTTAACCTTGCTGATAATCATTCTTGCATGAAATCTAAGAAATGAAAGAAAAATCCGCAAAATAGCACATGACAGTTGATTGATTAGATTAAAAAAAAGTTAGTTGGTTCCTTTCAATATACGGTTATAGTATGATAAGGAAGAGTAATACAGTGATAATAAAGCAGACATAATTTGAAAAGGCCTTGAAAAACTGGCTAAAGATGACAGAAGAAATGATTCGTCAAAGCCTAAGCAATAAGTAAAAGTTCTATTGTAAGTCATATCTATTCTTTTTAATATCCAATGTTCTGAATTCTAATGCACCACCGATAAATAATTGAGCCTTCGAAGAATTAAAATTTCTACCAAAAGAAAATCAGTCATATATTAATTTTGCATTTTATTAAAGTCTCCAACACCCATAAACTATTCATCCTTCAGCGTCTATTCTTATTCATTTTACTTACTTTAAATTTAGCGTACATTATTGTTATTCGGATAATGAACATTTCTACCAAAGTTTCAAAGGGGTAAGAATTATACTGAAATTGATAATCCAAAAGATCGAATATTTATGATATTGTGACGAATGAAGAAAAATAAA